CAAGATGATGGTTTACTTCGCTCGTCTTTTCGTCAGTGACTGCTTCAGAAACATTTGTCTTCAAAAGAAGTATTATATGACTCAGAAAAACAATGGTATTTTAGGTATGCAAATACATGTTTATACAACCCAAGTAACAACTTCAAGAACCATTGATTACATCATGTTTAAGCGGGGGGTAGAACGTATGAGTAGCTGCATGTAATGGCATGAATCTCTGTTTTTCACAGCAGTGAAGGGAAATGAGTAAAAAAAAGTCTGATGTTATAGTGTTTGCAGGCCTACTGTGGTTTTTGGCTGTGCGGGTATGTATTTGCTTTTTCTCCCTGGCTTTAGGTACCACCCCTTGCAGCTGACTTGACAGAGCAATTAGGCTAGGAAGTATTTAAGCTCAGGGAGTGCCATTCTCTTTACAGCATGAGCTATGTGCTTGTGGCTCCTTCCTCCTGCTCTGTGGAGAGGAGTGTATTTTTGAGTGACTTTTGACTTGCTTCAGAGTTTCACTGTGTTTTTCTTTGTGTTTTGATTGTGACAGTGACTTGACCTCCTGTTTTAGTTTAATTATTAATAAAAATACTTTTATTATATTGGCAGTGTTGTCTCCTATTGCCCTTTTACTGTTACTTACCCACATGTGTTGTTATGTTCCTAGGGAATATAACAGCTATTCTCTCTCTATAACCCCTCAACATATGCATTGGCCATGCCACTTCACACCTTTTTGTAAATCTGCATCAAAAACATCAGAGGAGTTAGTTCAGCTGAGGGTGGTAACCTGTCACTACAGACCTCCCATAAAGTAGCTTGAGGCACCGTGGATTACCGGTAAAACAGAGAATCAGTCATTGTGAGCACTCCTTTAATTAGTAGAATAAATAATTGATGAACCTATACAGCGAACCCACCAAAGGCTTATTGAGCTTTCTAGGTTGAGCTAACTGAATCTTGAATGCGGAAAGTCCACGAAGTATTATTGGACATACTAAAAAAGGGAGCCTATGTTTTATACAACAAACTGACTGCAAAGGTTTGATTGGGAGAGGGAACTGCTGCCAGATGATATCAGGACTTTTTGTGTCAGGAGTTGGAATGTAAAACGGGACACAGAGATACACTTTTTGTTCCAGAAAATGGTTATGTGAAGTATTTTTCATCAAATTGTCACACAGGTGAAATGTGGCTTTTGATACTCTAAAGTATTTGCTCAGACTAAATGTTGCAACACAAACATCATAAGATTTCATAAAGCATGCACTGATGTTTGGAATAGTTGGCGAATATAAATGTCTTCATTTAGTTTTAATTGTTATTAATGTTGGTCTTTGGTAACTCCAACACTGGTCAAACCCAAAGAATAATATCAGTTGTCTATAAATATTTTCTGTTTTATTGTTATATGCTCTGATGCATTCTGCTTTGTTTAAACGCTGGAACAGATTTTGTTTTTTGCAGCATTTCAAAAGTTATGTTAGATTTCAGTTGACAGATGCAAATGTGAAAATAAAAAGGTATATGTGCGTGTGTGTAAATCTCTGTCTTTATGTGAGGTAGCTTCATCCAAAACATCTCATTATGCGCTTGGTCTCTGCTCACATTGGCACAGGGTGCTAGATCCGTTGACAAAAATTGTTTGGTAATGGTTCCAAGACATGAAAAATGAATCTGGACCAAAAAAATTAGATTAACAGCTCAAGCAAAGTGCTGGCATGCCTGCTGGTGGTGGTTGGTAGTTGGAGGGTGGTCAGGAAAGGCAAGGGAAGGGAAGGTTGAAAATGAAATAAGCTGGACTGAAAGAGTAAAGCGCAAATGAGCAGCGTGAGCGAAGACATTTTCGCCCTGTCACATATAAAAAATGCTGGAAGTCAGAAAAAGGGTGGACAGGACATGAATTAATAACACTGGAGAGGCCTATAGGCATCTAGGCCTAGGTTAAGTGAATCAGATTATACATGTATGGTATAAACATTTCTTTACATGAGAGAAAAAGTTGGACAAAAGCAAGTAACCTTTTCCAAGAGCTTAGTTCAAAACCTGCACATTGATGCCAGCAAAAGCAATGAGACAGAGGGTTTCTTTTGAAAAACTGCATAAAAAACTGTCTTCTTCAAGTGAAAAGATTTATTGACATCTTATTTGCAATAAATATATTTTAGCAATAGAAAGTGACCGAGATTTAGCAATTTGTACCTGAGAGAAATTAATTTCTGTAAAAATACGATAACCCCTTCTTCTGTCTTTTTTTCAAAGAACAAATTTCATATTTAGAAAAGTTAGCACTTTGTCATAGAGAGTTAAATGGTCATTTTAATTCCCACTGTGGTAGCATGTGAACTGAAAGTGAATAGGCTCCCACCCTGAGGTCTAGATGATTGTTATTCACTCCACTGCCATCTGCTATTTCATGCCACAGGAATGTGGTGGCCCTGAGCACAAAGGCGCATAATGAGACTTTGTAGTGAATCCACTGAAATACAGGATGTGTAACGCACAACCAGATACACACTGAATGATCACAAAACTTTTACATATACATATATATATAATCTGAATATTCTGAATGAAAATGTTGTGTCAGCTGGGGTTAAATTGAGCAGGAGCACACCAGAGCTCAGGCCTGGCTCTCGATGTTCAGATTCACCATGCTGGAACTCCTCCTCTTTCTGTATTACAGCAAAACCAACTTGCATGCAACTCTTGATCTCTGCTCTTGGACACATACATCTCATGCTGAACAAACAGAAATTGATTCATACCAAATGACACACTTCTAGTACTGTAACTTTTGTCCCTTGGATACAGATTCTGCATATTCACATGGTATTTATCCGGTATCCTGGCTGAAGTTTGGTCCTTTTACAGCATCCTGCCATGCGATTACATTTGTTCCTGACCACCGAGTACACTCACGTTAACTTTTATCGAGTGGAAAAAAGTTAGCTTGCTTATATTATGCTAACATAGCTGTGTCGCTAGCGGTCACGTAGCACATCATTATATACCAGCTAGCCAAACTTCAGTAACCCTACACTGCTGTTTAGTTTTCTGTCTTCATTTATGTTGGAAGTGATAACGAGCTGTACGTTTTAATTTGTTTCCAAAACCCCGCAGTCAGGACATGCTATATTGTATTTAGATAGAAGCTAGCGAGCTAACTTCCTGCTAACTTCTAACTCCGTTAAATGTCATAAATTCCATTTTCATGGATGCCTGGATGTTAAACTCAATTGTTACACCTGTTAGAGCAGAACGCTGATCATTTTATTAAAGATGGAAGACTTTCGACAGTTTTTCAACTCTCAGTAATGCCATAGTGATCGTTTGATATATGGACCTGCAGCGGCGTTTAGGCCCAGACACGGCTAGTGACATCAGACTTAATGACCGGATAGATATTAGATGCACTGTCATGTGTTCATATAGGCTAGAAGAACTAAAACTCACTAAAAAAGTGATGAAAAGGCCTCTTATTTATTTTTAGTTGATTTAATTGTAGTATTTCTTCTTTTAAAATAATGTGACTTTGAGATGTCTCACAATGATTAGGAACTGGAACCATTGCCAACATGTATTCAGTGAAACCCTGTTCACTTTGGAATTTTATTTCACATCGAAGACACTGGCAAACGGTCGGAATAGCCATCTGTAATCCCAATTAGAACGGCCTATTCTATGCTGCAGAACATCTGTTTATTTTTGTCCTATAGCTCTTTGTGAAGCCCACTTGGGACCTGCTGTCATGAAATTCCAGGTGTACAGGACAGAATGCACATGAAGCTGCTTGCTAATTAGTCAATGGCCATTTAACTGTTTGTGAAACTTTTTCTCTGTGATGGCAGAATTTTTGAAAACACTGTTGGAATCAGAGTTGCTTTAATTTGCAACATTTGACCATAATTAGATTTTTGGGGGAGTTTTTTTAAACAGGGCAGTGGAGAGAAGATAGGACAGCAGAGAGAAAGACCAGTTGACTTGGTGTAAACAGCCTTAGGGCATATTCAGACTCGGGCCTCTGCATTAGCCTTATGGCATATGGGTCACCTCCTACCCAGTGTGTTAAACCAGTTATAAATAAAGTTGGTTAAGACCAGCTTGTGTTTAGTTACACTAGAAATCTAATATTACCTGCTGTTAATGGTAAGTTTACAGCAATATTTCTGTAGGCAATCAAGTGAAACAGTATTACTTTCCCAGCAAATTAGAAAACCTGCTGGGATCTCTCAGTACATGGGCATGGAGTAGATGGAGTCTATGCATACAAAGCTTCTGCTATTTTTGAATCAGCTCAGCCCATTATCTCAATGAGGAGGACAGCTTCTCCAAGACGGATATTGGGTATACTTGGCAAGAATTGGTAAGATGGGCTATATGAATTTATAAACATTACAACAGAGATTAGCTCCCTAAAGCAGACTTCTACAGTCTTATTTCATTTAAGGCCACTGCCTCCAGTCCAGAGATACTTCATTAAATTGAAATATGAATTTGGAAAGAAATGGAAAACAGAAAGCAGAGACCCCTTCTGCTCCCAGCCAAACCGGAGGACAAAGGCTTGCACAGACAGAGGCTCTCACACTCACTGGCACTTTGGAGAGTCAGACTGCATCTCCATGCAGCTGTTGGCACTTTTGACAGCTTCCACTGTGTTCATGACATGGGTCCACAAAAAGCCCCCAGGTCCCCAAACTTCAGTATTCAGTGTTGTTGAGAGGACAGACTTGACAGCACAGTAGCAAAACTCCACACACAATGGTTTCACAGTCATTAAATAAAGATAGCAGAGTTTTCTGTAGTGTTTTTAACAGTCTGCTCAGCGGTCTAAAGAACACTGAATGTTCTTCACCGGTTTACTGACCCCATTGTTAAAACACATGCAAAAGGTGAAACTGGCAGGCCTTTTCAGCTCCATTTTCCCTTTGTTTTATCAGGTGAATTTCAGCATGCACTGTTTAGTCTTTGTGCTAAGTACTCGTGAACTGTTTCTTTCAAGAGCTTTTGCCTAAATGGCCAATGTGGCAGGTACAACACTTAGTCAAAGAGTTACATCATGGCAGCTGTCTCAGTTCCAAAATTTCGTCTCTTGGCTTCTAAGATTTGTGATTCTATTCCAGCTAATCTTTAGGCTGTCATGAATTTTACCCCGGTTGGATTATGCTGGACTAGTGTCCAACTCCCTTTAGCTCCAAAGATGTGGCAGTGAAAAGGCCTTTGAACAGGCTGGCCAAACACTGTCTGTCTATGGCTTTGGTCCCAACTGGTAGCAGCCAGCTGACACATCTCTTGGTAGCTGTTTTTCTTCATCCTAGTTATTTACTTAACTGGAAATGTCACTAAGAAGGCTTTGGTATGTAGCCATTTTTTCTTCCTCATGTCCTGCCTTCATGTTATCTATCTCTCTTTTTACTCCCCCACACTGTCCCTATCTGTTTCGCCTCTCTTATCATTCTATCATGCATAAAACTATCTCTTCCTCTTGCACAGAGGAATAGGCTGACATTTGCACTTGGATATTGTAGTCATTTGCTTCCCCTAAAGTACCTGAACTTACAGAACCCTGCTATGCACTTGAGACCCAGGCAAATATCAGTGGCTATGACCTCTTTATTGAGTGCTGAACATATAACCATATGGTCTGTGTTCATCAATGGTCTTTTTTTTAAACACATTTTCACTAACCAGGCACTGGTCTTACAGTAACCTATTTTAGGATGTCACACATTATCCATCCAGTGTGAAAATTTATGTAATTTAGTTTATTTAATTTGCCACTATGCTTCCTATCTATTTTCCTGTATATCGTAAGGCTACATTATGTGTGCAGCAGCTGCGTCCTTTGAGGTATATCAGTAAATAATTGATGGGTATGAGTCTAGATCTCTTTCAAAGTTTAATTAGTTGCAAGGAAAACACAGAAGTTGCCCTTTCTCACACACATACCATACAATTTACCTGTGTATAACCCTGTGCAAAACAATAAATCAGGGCATTACTGTTGTTTTTACAGCTGCAATCCTTAAGGACTGAAAAATGAGAAAAGAGACAATGTAAGATTTATTGCCAGTAATTTCACAGCTACAGTATAACCTAAATTCTCTATTTATTTCAAGTTCAAACAATTTGTACGATATCAAGGTTTCCTGATACAGCTAGTGCTGGTGTTGGCATTTCAAACAGGTTCACATTGTACAGTGGATTCATTATGAATGATCAAATCGGATACAGTCTCCCATCATTTCTGTGCTTTTTTTCTCAAGTAAAAGCAATAAAAAAGACACTCAGTTCAGATAAGGGCAAAGTATATTTACTGGCTTCTTTCCACACAAGTCACATATGGACGAAATGCAGCATTATGTAGAGCACTAAAGCCTCAGACAGGGCTTTAGAGTTCCTCTCAAATATGCCACTGTATATTGGCTTTATTACAAAAGCAGAAACTTTTCATTTTCTTTTCACTGCTATGTCCTTGGTTCTTTGTTGTCCCCCCCAATCAACATGAATGAGCCCATCCTCATTCATATAATGTCACCGACTGTGGTGTTTTTGGTTTTTCAAGCTGACTAAATGGCAAGTAAAAAGAAACCCGAACTGTAAAAATGAAGCAAAACTGAGGACAAAATAGAAAGCTTCCCAACAAGACGCGAGTTGCTCAAGAGGGCTTTCTTGACAGACTTCTGGCTAAGATCACATCTCACTGGCAGCCCTTTTTCTTCATTGTCGCCCTTCGAAAGAGGACTGCTTCTCAGTTGTTAATGCTGAAGCAACCAGTGCATCAAGTCTCCAGAGGACACCTTGCACTTACCCTTAAGACAGCTTTGAAAAAGCAGTAGTACTTGACACTCAAACGATGGAAATATTTGGCATAAACAATGCTAATTTTCAATGTGAAATATTATATAAGCCTACACAATGCAAACCTCCACCATGGCAGCTCCCTCGCCTAGCTTTATTTACTTTGTTTGCTTTGCCCTTTTTATACAGACTTTAAAAAGTTTGTAGTACAGCAAAATTCAGATAAGTGTAGCACGTTAGATGCTTACTTTAATTACACAAACATCATGTAGGAGTAGGCCATGGATAATATTGATTTGCAAATAACAGGATAAGGATAACTTGGGCGTATTATATAATATTATAATGCAGTATATTTTTAACTAACTAAGCAGCTCATTCTCTGTCTCTTAACCATGCCTTCTAGATGAGCTTTAAAGCTGACACATTTTTGGTTCAGCTTGAAAGAAAGGCAGATGTGAAATGCAAAAGTAAAGTCTATAATGTGATCAATACTGTTTATACTGTTTACAATATTTTACTACTGTATTGTATAATGTTTTCAATACAAACAATAACAGTAAGAAACACAGTTTTAGACAGCTCTATATAGCATTAATATTAGCATTACTAAACAGCAGATCAATCTGTTGAGCATGAAGGAGAGGTCAGACTTGACTTTTTAGACTGGTGGATATAAGATGGATTGTTAACATGACCCAGCTCTACACCCCTACAAAGTTTTATCTGAATTTATTCAAAAGTTTTTGAGTTATTGTGTTTACAGACAGAATGATATTCACACACACAAATACTATCAAAAACACAACCTCCCTGAAGGAGGTAATAATAATAATAAATGATGAACAAAACCATTAGTTGATTTACTTGCTCATTCTGTGTGTTAAAGATATACTCTGGGTTTCTTAAAATATTCAGCACTGGAATAAAATAGCTGATCAATACCGAAGCACTGGCGTTTCACTGAAGGAAAGCTACAGAGAGTCTAACATTGTCTGCATTTGAATGAGCCATTGTACATCTTTCAGTATAAAAAAGAAGAAAACTGCTACTGCAATTCCATCAACCACAAACAAATTTTTATTTTAACATGCAATATTAAAATTACTGTTGTTGTAGTTATCACCGGTCCCCTTGTGAATCAAAACAGCATGCTATGAAATTTCAACTGCGAGTAGAATCAGTGCCTGTGGAATGTTATGAAGCCAGTAGACATAAGGGGTGAATACATACATGAGTAATGCACATGGCAGGGGATACCGTTGGACTTGGGAATCAGCAACAACAGCAACAGCAACCACCAGAAATAAACTGCACACATAGAGATGCAAGGAAAATAAGAATTTGGCAGCTTTACCGAGGACCCAAATAAACAGATGCTAATTTTTTTTGTTTAGCTGATTTAATGGAAATGTGGTGCAGTGTACTGTAATAGCGAAAACAGTGAGCGCAGCTTATGAGGTCAAATTGTGTTTAAGTCTAATCAATCACTTTGTAAACATAGCCACCAATTTTGCCTCGGGAGGTCTTGCCATTATCAAAATTAAAGACAGTTAAAGTTTCGTTTCATAGATCTTTGTGATGGCTGCGAATATTCAGGGTTCTGCTTTCAGAGGCAAAGCACATTTTCACCCAAGTTCTTTTTCACATATTTTAAGATATTTCCACATTACTGGTCAGGGTTGTTAATAGCTACTATATTATTAGTACTGTATATTAGAACCATCATTCTTCAACCAAGACAAGCCATTGTGGAAGCATGCAATCATTACCGTTTTCTGTATTTTTTTTTCTCTTTTCTGCAAGGTTACTCATATACTACCAAACGGTTGGAGAGGTGGAGCACAGAGGAGGAAAAGAATCTCATGTTGAATCATGTTACTTTCTTTAAAATTGTGAAATAGAACATTGGCCTTGGTACAGGTTGACTTTCCACCTTTTCCACCTTTTTCATTTATTTAATTTTTTTTAGTATATATCTTCTGATCTCTAAAATCCGTACATGTATAGCGGCTTCTCCCCAGAAGAGAGTTTAGAGAGCCCTAAGGAAATAAGCGGAGGCACTGAAGAAATTCACTATATTTCTCACCACCTTGATTCCTTTAAAATCTACTTTCTCTCTATTAACTCGCCTCCTTCTTTCATTCCATTGCTGCCTCCTCTTCCAGCCTTTATTCAATGTATTCTGTTAGTGTGAGTGTGTGCGTGCGTGTGTGTTTGTGTGACCTACAAAGCCTGTTCATGTGCAGCTAGAGCAAGTCTTTGCCAACAAACCTATAGAAACACTCATTAGACGGAAGCTGCAGTAAAGCTGTTGTGTTCCCAAGTGTGTGAATGAAAATGAAGAATCATCAAGTGTATGACTGGATCTAAGCGCAAGTGTTGGTGCCTTTGTGTCAATCACTGCACAAACAGTTGAATATATGGATGCAGAACATTTGTCCATAGCCGTGAAGGAGCTCTCGTGTGCATTTGTTTGTGTGATAGAGGATCCTATTATCATTAATTAGGATGCAAGAATAAATTTGGAGACTCTTGAGCATGACCCAAAGATTTCTTGTAATTTCATGACCAGATGCTGCTGCACGAGAGCTGCACCTGTGGAACAGCTGCAAAAGGAGATAAGCAGGAACACATCACTAGCTGTTCTGGCATGGGTTGCAGCTGGTGACACGGGCTCACCTGAGTCATTTTAAAAGAATCGTACCTCCTCGCACAGTATGCAAACAGACTTTTTAAATCCCGCTGCCTGAAACCACGTTGTTGCCCTTCTCTCCCATTCTATGATGCTGAGTCAGACGCCTGACAGTTGCAAGTGGACTTTGCTAATATTCCAGGGTGACATGAATGTGCCAGAAATGTCATTACTTTTTATAAAGGAGAACCTTGATGTCTCTGTGCATATCCACCTGCCAAAGCAGGCAGCAAAAGGAGAAAAATGTGGAGCTCTTTCAGACCACAAGGGAGGCTTTCCAAAGAGAAATGCACACTTGCATGCAAGCATACAAAAGGACACACCCACACACATTGTCACGATTAGATATTTTCCATTCTCTATGAGCCCACCTGTAACACGAACTCTTTGAGACTTTCACCAGATGTAGTCTACTGTACACACACACATGTGTGATCTGTCTATGCACATTCACAGAAGGAGAAACAACACTCTTTTCTAAATTTGACTCTCCCTCATACATACTCAGACTCTGTGCGCACACACACACGTAGTGGGACATGACAGAGAGCTAGTGACTGTGCCTACCTGACCTGACAGACCATTCACAAGTTCTCTCTGCGTGGAACCTAATGTACTGGAAGAGGGGAGTGTGTTTGTGTGGATGAGAGAGTGAAAGGGGTGGATTGAGAGAAAAGAGAGGGAAGAGACTTAATCACTGTGTGCATGTGAGGAATATTCAGTATTTCTTTCCTTTGATTTCTGCTGTGTTTGTGTGTTTCATATGTATTCCTCTGCCGTCACGTTCTTTGTTTTCTCTTGAGAGCACTAGCAGAATGTTAGCTTGAAAGTGAGGTTATGAGGAGCATCGCCGTGGTGGTCTTTCAGATAATTTTCTTCACAGCAACCCCAATGAAACGTCTATTTAAATGAAAGAAGTTGAAATTTATATCTGTTTGCAGAAAAATCCAACCTAAAATTTCATCATAGTCATTTATAAATGCCTACTTCGTACTTCAAATTTCAGAAGTGAACAAATGCAGAATAAATATGTGTAGGGTTTAGGGCTGCCACAAACGATTATTTTGATAGTCGACTAGTCACCGATTATTTATGCGATTAGTCGACTAATCAGATCATCATCCACTGGACGTAAAACTACAGCTTATTGCACCAGCAGCATCTGCTCTTATATAACTATCATTAGCTTACAGCTTTAAGCTTTTAAGGTGCTAACTAAAAATAAAGACAAGATGATAGTTTATTCAATTTTAATGAAATTTGCAGATTGTTTCGGTAAAGTTTAATAAACTCCTTGCTATCTAAAATATAACAGGACACCGGAGTATATTCTCCAGCATCTCACACTTCTGATAATCAGTTGTCTGCTTGACGTTTATTCAGCTGTGTAAAAACTATAACTTTAATCTCAGCCAAACCGATTTACTCAGGAACAAATAAAATACTAAAAAAAAAGCCAAACAATAACATTTTTAATTTATCTAAGTGACTCATATATATTTAACCTGAGTCACGAAAGACGGCGGTGGGTTTGAAAACAATTTGCCGGGAGTCCGGTGTTCTCACGGCGCTAGTGACCTAGCCCCCGGCTAGCTATCAAGCTAGTGGGTAACAGACGTCTCCGAAAACGTCGGAGCGCTTTTGAAAATATGTGGTGTCCTGATAAACTGAGCAGATATTTGAGGTTTACACAGCTACATTCTCGCCTGAAAATATGTTAAACGTTTATTTTGTGACCCAGAAAGAATAATAAGAGTAATATTAAAACTAACTAGCTACTGCCATTGTTGGAAACTAAGCTGGGCCGCGCTATGAATTCTGGGACACAGCTTCTTCTTCTTCTTCGGGGTTTAACGGCAGCTGGCATCCTTGTACATGCTGTGCTGCCATCTTCTGTTTCAGTCCGTTATTACACTCTTAAATCCTGCTATTATTCCTGCGTCTTTTGCGATCTTACAAAGCTTCAAACGACACGTCGACTATTAAATCAGTCGTCGACGATTTTGATAGTCGACGTAATCGTGACTAGTCGACAAATCGTGGCAGCCCTAGTAGGGTTTAACCTCAGGCTGGGGCAATTCATTTTAGCCACTTGTATTTCTCCTCTGTTTTGATTGGTTGTTTGGTTTTTTAAATCAGCTTTGCATCTGCATTTAGTTACCAGGCCAGATTGCCTGTTAAGGTGGATATTTTTGCAATGTGTTCGTGAATTTGCCAAATTGGTTTGACTAAGTTGAGATTTTCTCATAGAATTACAGTTAAATAGGATTTAAAATGACCAACAACTACTTAATGTATTTTCTATGCATGAAAAAGTGTGTATGTAAAGCAAAAAAACACAGCTCTTTATCATATCCTCTGTTTTCTTCCAACGTCCTCTTCTGTTTCTCACTCCTTCTGTTTTAATATGCGTTCTTTCTCTCTACAGAAAAGTGTGATGAGGCTCTTGCCTCTCCTCTGCCTCACACAGCCTTCACCAGCTCGTCTGTCTTCTCCAGTGGATATGCACCTGGATATGCCAAGCTCAACAGGAGAGGAGGTATACAAACACACACAGACATACGTGCATGCGGACACACACATGCGGACAAGCCTACAGATGGCCATGTACTCACACATATATGCATTCTGTTGGAGGGCTCTGCTTACATGCAGTGTAGACAGAGATAAAAGTAAATACCTAATTCAGGTACGTGTACATACAGCCTTATGGATGATTTTAGAGATGACACACTGTGAGATAAACATTCAAGCCTTCATCGAGCGACACACTTCTCAGTGCTGCACAGCTGCTCTCACCACCTTCCTCCTCTTTTTCTCTTTTCTTTCTTTCTACTTCTTTATATTTCTTCTCCTCTCATGCCCTCCCTCTCTTGGCTTCAATCATTATCTCAGTGACTCAGACTGAAGCTCATTTCCACATCAGTCCACAGCAAAGACAGATAGGGACAGACAATTACACCCCTCCGTGTTTATACAATTAATAATTCATACTTTCCCATCTAATATAGCCGCACTACAGCTGAGGCAACAACTCTGACATATAAAAGCAAGGTAATCTGGTATGTTTAATCATACCAATAGAATTATTTCTACTAAATGGGACTGCAGCTCCTGTAATGACACCCACCAACAACCGATTAAGGAAATAGGGAAGGAAACAATGAAAAAATGAAAAACAATTTCTCAAAAGGATAAGGAAAGGATGGTAAAAATACAGTTTAGCATTCTTCCCACCAACACATTTTCTTTTCCTCTCCTGGAGGATAGCGGTCCTTGGAGAGCATGTAATGGATAAAGTGTATATATTCAGTTTATTTTTGTAAAAGCTTAAGTAATACTTGAATGAAAATAGCTGTAGTGTGCATTTTTGTGAAATTTACTTGCGCAGAGTGATGTTGGAGTGACGTCATTGAATATATGGATGCAGAACATTTGTCCATAGCCGTGAAGGAGCTCTCGTGTGCATTTGTTTTTGGATGCACAATTCTGGTCCACCGAAGGGGTTGTTTGTGTAACGCCAGACGGCGTCTTTTTAGCGACGTCTATTATACTTCTAGTGTTGACGTCTGTAAGACCTTTGGGTAGGGACTATTTATGGTCCAAATGTGGTTGTTGTGGACGTCTTTTAAATGTCAAACTTGTAAGACTCATTTTAGATGTCATTTTTATAATGCTTCTGATTGTATAGGCTCTGTAGTCCCATGTTTCCAGAGGGTGGAGGGCATATTATCTGTACAGAAACAGTTATGTTTAAAAGGATGCAGAGTGATTAGCAGACATCTCCAAGATGGTGCGGGCTCCTGAGCTAAAGCAAAAGTGAGCAGCTGCGTGGTGGATTTCGAGCAGAAATATCATCTGTGCATTGACAAAGACTGTCAGGCAAATAGTCCAGTTCATAAATACACACTTTTCGTATTTTACATCTCCCAGAGCAGGCCACTTCACAAACACACTAGTTTCGTCTTACACAGCTCTTCACAATAAAACAGGATACTAACCTCTCTAAAATAAAAACAAACGGTATTTAATGCAAATACTTTTTTAACTTATTAAACACATTTTACTCCTTTTAAAATGAATACCAAAAATTTTATAAATACTTTAACCATTATTATTTCATTTACATTTCAACATGGAATTTAACATGGATTTTACTGTTTTTAATATTTTAAAAAAATAACAGTTTTAACCTAGTTACAAATAAATAAGGTGATTAATTAAAATAAATAAACTAGTTAAAGAAAAACAGGGAAATTTAAAATAACAAACAAAACAAAAAAAAAACATGCGCTAAATAAATTAGTAGGTCAACACATAATAAAGCATCTTTGTTGATAAATAATCTGTATTCATATGTATCATGTTGAGAGAAACAATGTTGATATTTGTAAATAAAAAAAACATTACATTTATTAATCATGTAAATTCCCTGCACAAGTCATAGACATCTACATGACGTCCAAAAGATTACCCTGTCGAAAGTTCAAATGTTGAATATCATATTGATTTTGGGAGACACTATTTCTACTTTTAAGATTAGGCTTAAAACATTCCTTTTTCTAAAGCATATAGTTAGGGATGGATCAGGTGACCCTGAATCCTCCCTTAGTTATGCTGCAATAGTCTGCTGGGGGATTCCCATGATGCATTTTGTATTTCTTCTTCAGTCACCTTTCTCACTCACTATGGGTTAACAGACCTCTCTGCATTGAATAATACTTGTTATTAATCTCTGGCTCTCTTCCACACCATGTTTTTTGTCATGTCTTCCTTCTCTCTTCCTAACCTGTCGTGGCAGATGGCCGTCCCTCCCTGAGCCTGGTTCTGTCGGAGGTTTCTTCCTGTTAAAAGGGAGTTTTTCGTTCGACTGTCGCCAAAGTGCTTGCTGATAGGGGGTCATTTGATTGTTGGGTTTTTCTCTGTATGTATTATTGTAGGGTCTACCTTCAGATATGAAGCACCTTGATGAGATTCTCTAAGGTATAGTAGCTGATGACGGTCAAGGATTCCTCTGGAAATCAGTTTGGATGTGAACGTTACAACTTCAAGACAGATTTACTTAACTTTAAAATACTATAATTAAACATTTATAATGCAAACTGCATTAACTGTTGATGTGCGCCAACCTTCAAAATATGACATTTGTAACAGTTGTTAAAGTAAGAAGTAAAATGTATTTGCATAGCGCTTCAATAGACAAGAAAGTAGTCATGAAATATTTTACAGAGGTATCAATTAAAAAAAGAAAACAGCTGATATGTGTTTAAAATGATCTCACATGAACCAGGTGAAACAACACAGAATTCAAAACACCCAAATGCTTGTCTAAATAGATGTCTTTTCACCTGTTGTTGAAAGCATGTCACAGAGACAAGCGATAATATCAAAACATGCTGTACAGTTTCTGTCACAACGGGACTGAACGGACTCACGCGCAGGCTCTAGGTCTTGAAAGCACAAGAGTCTTTATTATGATGCACCAGGTGATTATTTACAAAAGTGAGGGGAAAGCCGGGCTCCGGGGGTCCACACACGAACGGGAAAGACACGCACACTCTCCGTCCACTCCTCTTCACACTCGCACACTCTCCGTCCACTCCTCCTCACACTCCACTCACTCGGGTAACACAGGGGTAGGTCCAGGGAATCTGTACACAGAGACACGAATGGGTAGTTAGGTAAATCGCTATGAAACACTTCTGAAGTCATTGAGCTGGGGTTACACTGACGAGGGTCGGCAACGGTCCAGCGACGAGAAACACAGGGCTGCCGTCTTATAAAGGAGCTGGATCACTCGTGATGAGCCACAGGTGCGTGGGCCAAGGGCAGGAGCCCGCAGGTGAGCTCCGCCCAGGCAGAGGGAGGAGGGAAAGAGGGGAAAGGAGAGAGCAGGAAAAAAATTAAAAAAGGAATACAAAACATATGTAGCCGTACTGAGCCGACCGGGTAGGCACAGGGACCCTGACAGTTTCTGTGTTTTAGCTGTAGAGAGTCTCCCTTCGCTCTATCATTTTGACTTGCATTTAGATGCAAGCAGCTACATTTGACAGCCAAATGTACTGTTATTGGCATGAATATGTGCTCTTCCAGTGCTATGAAACAGGGAAGACACAGAATCAATATTAGCCTAGAACCTCACTTTTTGGCAAAGCTTCATTTTTCACATCAGGAGTCCTTGGCATATTGAGCCACCATTGTGATTAACAACAAACAGTTTCCATCAGCTGCTGACTTTGTGTTAAATGTGCCAAGATTATATTGAGTTAAAAGTGATCAGTGGCTAAAACTACCAAGTAATCATCACTCTGTAAGCATGGAGACCACAAAGTGGCAGAATTGCAAAGGAAATTGTATTTGCTATGAACGTATGTCTGTTTGTTTGTTTGTTGCCATCTAAGAAAAGCATCCAGTGAGAAATTGGTTTGATTGTGAATGAAAATGGTCAAATCAGTATTGATTTCCTAAAGGTCATACATGAAAATGAAAACTGGCAGCAACGTGGAGACCAAAGACCAGGAAATGTTAATGAAATTAGGCAAATATCAACAGTGGTAGGGAGTAATTGTTGCTTATGCAAAGAAGGTGGGCACAAGCGATTAAGTCATCTACCAGTAGGAGTAAAGAGTAATGTTGACTGAGATATGGCAGCGTGAGAAAGGGAAGGGAAGGCATATCAGTATTCACAATACTAGAGACATAATGCACAAATACAAACCCTAACTCCCCCCAAAAATATACATATTCAAGCAAAGATGCATGAGAGTCATCCATATTGCACATATTCTTAGAATTACAGTGATTTTCTTTACAGACAAAACATGCACTGAATGAGAAAACAAGCGAAAAGCCAATTTAGCTTCTACATGACTCATGCTCACATTTACAGAAACCCTGTGAGGCATGACAAAAACAAGTCCACATATTAAACACTCACACTTTCACTGGAACACAAACATTTCAAAGCACTTGTATTGACAAAAACAGGACGGCACTACACATTTACACATATTATAAGGAGGGGTTCCTTCAAGCCGTTACATTTGGCAGCCAAATTTGCCGTCAGTGACATGAGTATGTGCTGATAATCCAATCTACTCCAATCTCCCAGTGCCATGGAACAGCAGAGGCACAAAATCAATGGGACACACCAATCATCTTAAGCTAAGCACATTGGGCTGTGAACGCTGACAGCTATTAGAGTTTTAGGTTATAGTGATGTGCGCGTCGGGTGTGTGCATCCAATTTTCGATGCACAGTCCTGTAGATGTGTGTGTGAATGAGAGATGGAGTTAGATGGTGCCATAGTGATTTTCCAGCAGGCAGCTATCTTGTGTAAGCCTGCCAGTTACCAGGATCCTGGTGGTCATTCCTACTTTGCTTTTTCATTTTAAGATGACACATTTTATTAGTTTTTTATAGGCACAGTATGTATTTGTGTGCCTTTATGTACAAAATGACTAAACATGAATGGGCTTGTGAACATTGCTGTATTCTTAATTGTTCCATTATAGTGCTAGACCTTTTTTTTTTACTTAA